ATTCTTCCTGTCTTTTTCTTTAGCTCAGAAACTTTCAATGATTTTCCAAAGTCTGATGAATTAAAGAGAAAATCTAGCATTCAAAAGTCTTCCATGGTTTGTCATCAATCTACCATGGCAACTTTAACTTCCATTTTCCACCTAATTGTACTCTAAAATCCAGTTCAGCTGGTGTTCTTTTCACAAGCCCAGAGCTTCCCTGACTCCAAACAGTTGTTCTTGTTTTTTTCTCTGCTTGGACTGCCGCCTCTCCTGTATCCACCTGTTGAAATCCTATCTGTGTTTCATGGCTCATCATAAATAATAATAATAGTTAACATTTTATAAAGTGCTTATTTTGGTCCAGGCACTGTGCTAAGTGTGTGCAATTATTTCACACAGATTATCTAATTTAATCCTCACAGAAACTTAATAAAGTAAGCTCTATTATTATCTTTGGCTTAGCCTAGACTAAAACAGAATTCAGAGAGGGTGTAGTAATTATGTTTGATCAATGTCACACAAGTTAATAAATGGTAGGGGTGGGATTTGAGTTTAAGTAGTCTGGCTTTGCAGCTCTGAAAGGTGCTAAAATGTCAAAAAAAAAAAATCCAAAAACCCTTTCTGATTTTCTCTGGCTCAACTAGATGTGATCCTCCTCTAACAACATCAAAACATTTTGACAGGATCTTTAAAGCTTATCTTATTTAATTGCTCTTATACCCATGACGTGGTGCCAGTGGGCACAGACTATGTCTTAGGCATATGTCTGTCTCATACAGTGTGGCACAGAGTAGGTGCTCAGCGAGAGTGTTATGTTGAATTGGAGGTATGCTGGGGTGAAGGAAGGGACTAAAGAATTTTGTAGGGGAAGATACCCCATACTCTCCTGCCTTAGCCACCCTGCATGGTGTGATACTGGTCAAAGCTGCCAACATCTGTCTAAATCAGATCTTGCAGTCTCTGCTTCCCCAGCCTAGTTTCCTGGCGGGTCTTTTCTTGTCCCCCAGTTCTCACAGCTGCCTCAGCCTTGGCCAATGTTGAGATAAAGCAGGATCAAAATATCACTGCCCTGGGCTCAGTTTCCAGGAATGAAGGATCAAGTGAAACCCAGCCGGGTGGGTGAGGGTGAAAACTGAAAGCCCCCAAATAGAGCCTGCAAGCTCTTTACACAAGCCCCGACTTGCCCAGGGGCCACGTGGGTAGGCCAGCAGCTCAACTTCCTTCGGGATGCTTTACAAATATGATCAGACTCCTCCCTCCCTTCTCTAAGCTCCTAGACTCCTTCTCTTCCTTATCTCCCAACCGCAGATAGGGTGGTTGGACAGTCCAGGCATGTTTCCAAAGGACATGGGGTGCAGTAAAAGCCTACCCAGGGGAACTGGCTCACCAAGGTCATCAGAGTATTAGTGCATGTCCCTGGCATCTTACACAGCACTTTCTGGATACAGATGGGTGGGTAGACAGACAACCAAAGGACACCTTCCCAGCCATTCTGACTTTGTAGCACCTTAGCAGAATCATCCTAACATGATCCTGAACTCCCATATCTATGCTCCACAAACCTCAACCACCTTGCCACGCCAGAGAGTGTTCCACACTTACCCTGTAAATGAATGGATGGATGGATCTTGCTCCAGCAACAGAATTCTTGGACAAATGTACCTCAGTGCCGGCCAGATATCCCACCAAGCCCCCACTTCTCAGCCCCCAGCCTCCATACCACACACTCAGTAGATGAAATCCATTACAGTCAAAGCTCTGCTCTGACTCATTTCACATGTGCAGCAACAACAGCCAGAACCTATTCTCTTTCCTTTCACGCTACTGCCTACTTCCCCGCCCCCATGAAGCAGCTATTGGATCACTGCAGTGTCTAGGCGTGGCTACACAAAGAAGTTTCACCCCTGACAGGGAAAGTAGGGGAGGAGTTGGGGAAGGGTGGGTGAATAGTGAAAAAGCCCCGCCTTTGGCAGTAACTGGAAAGCTCCAGGGACTAAAGCGGGGAGAAAGGGAATAGAAGCAGGAGAGGTTGTGGAGCTGGTTAAGATCTGTGGTTTCTCGGGAGGACTTGAGACTTTGTGGCAGAGTGTCACTTCTGTATATAAGCTTCACTCATTCAAGTGGTCCCTTTGTCCACTGCATTATACTTATTTCCTTACTGTCACTGAATTGTAATCTGTAATAATTTAATTTATAAATTTGCTTGGTTGTTTAATGTCTGTCCTTTCCCTTCCACTAATTGGTAAGCATTATGAGCTAACATCCAGTAACAACACTTATGCAACACTTGATATTGTCCAGGCACTCTTCTTAATATTTTACATATATTAACTAATTTAATCCTCGTAACTACCCTAGTTTGATTCACAATTTAGAGGTAAGAAAACTGAGGCATAGTCTGATTGCCCAATGTCAAACAACTAATAAGGGACAGGGCTGAGAAGGAGACTGGTATATAGAAGAAGGAATAAATAAGTTAACTAGAGAACCAGGGGTAAAAGACAAAATGGAAGAGGTCAGAAGGATTTTGAATATGTTGAAGTTGAGTAGCCACAGAGCCCCACAGGATGAAGAAATGTGAGCTGGCAGCAAGAGGACCCTTTAGCCGGGGGCACTCTCCCACGACACAGCCTTGCTGTCTTTTATTTTTTAAACATAAGTCCTTTCCAGCTAAGATGGGAACATTCTTCAAGGTCAGAGTTAGGGGATTTTCAACAACCCTAGCCTCAAGAGCTCAAGATCTTCCCTTCCCCCTTTCCCTATAAACTATGCCTCATTTTTTGGTACTTTGTTTTTTATTCTTTTTAAAAAATTATTGGAGTATAGTTGATTTACAATGTTGTGTTAGCTTTTGCTGTACAGCAAAGTGAATCAGTGATACATATGTCCACTCTTTTTTAGTCTTTTCCCATTTAGGCCATTACAGAGTACTGAATAGCGTTCCCTGTGGAACTCTAATAAGTGGGTCCTTATTAGTTATCTATTTTATATATAGTAGTGTGTATATGTCAATCTTAATCACCCAATTTATCCCCCTTTACACTCTGATAGCCATAAATTTGTTTTCCACATATGCAATTTTATTTCTGTTTTGTAGAGAAATTAGTTTGTTCCCATTTTTAGATTCTACATGTAAGTAATATCATATGATATTTGTCTTTCTCTCTGACTTAGACTTCACTCAGCAGAACCAAGACTCATTTTAAAACTACTTCCTCACTGGTATCTTTATTATTCACCTTCCCCTTTGTGCCCAACATTTCTACCCACAAAACATACACTTCTTCCCACTGCAAAGTAAAATCTTCTACCACACTGCCTCTTCCTCAAATAATAGCCTCATCTCTCTTTCTTTCTCAGCCAAATTTCTGACTAAAGTAGTCTTCACTCACTGTTTCCATGTCTTCACTTTCCATTAGCTTCCCAATTTATTGTAATCTGGATTCTAGCCCAATGCTCTTTCCCTGAGGTCACAAATGACCTTTATACTTCCACATTTTAGAAAACATTTTCACTCATTTTCTTATTTATTTTCAGTTTTTTTTCCAGTATCAGCCACCCTTTTCTTTGGGAAACATTATTGCTTGTATTGGAAAACATGGTCATCTCCTGGTTTTCCTCTATTTCTCTAACCCTTCTCAGATTATGTCACTGGATATTCTCCAGTAATATAATATTGATGATGCTGGGACCCTCACAACACTTTATACATACAATCTCATTTATCCCACAGAACAACTCTTTGAAGTATTATTTTTCTTAGTTTATACATGTGGAAACTCAAGATCAGACAAGTTAACTGAATAGTCCAAGGGCACACAGCAATTACAAGCTTAATCCAGAATTATAACCAGAACCTGACTCTAAGCATGCTACATCATGCTGTCTTGCTCCAATGAGTAAGGACATGGAACAGTAGAATGTCTTTGGAGTCTGAATTGGGATTCCAGAACTGCCACTTAAAATTTGCATGCTGTGTCATCTTAGGCAAGTACTTTAATCTCTCAGAGATTCTGTTTCCATATCTATAAAATATGGAAAGAAACAAGGTCAGAAGATTTGAGAATATTTATAGATTTTTTTAATCCAGTTCCAGATACAGGAACTCAATAACTGAGACCTGTTAGAATGACAGTGATAACTACTATGTCTATAATTATTAATCTTTTCCCTCTAGTTTTTCTACCTTTTATTATTATTTTAACCTTATTAGTCTACTTTCTTGTCACTAGTTTCTAATTTTATTTGTTTTTTCCTGATTCAATCCTCCTATAAGAGAATGTAATTTCTACTGAGGCAATTAGTCAAACCCCTGTGTTTTTCCTACACACTACTTTCTCAGGCCTAGGACTGGAAGTTAAGCACACAGTGACCAGAAGACTGTATAACTGACTATTTTACACATGTATTTGCTAATAATATTACTTTAAAATAACAGATAGCATAGTCCTCTAGAATTATTTACACATATATTTCCTTTAATCCTTATAACTATGGAAAGGTGCCATTATTATTATTATGCAAATTTACTAATTGGAACCTGGAAAAGGAAATGGCAACCCACTCCAGTATCCTTGCCTGGAAAATCCCATGGACAGAGGAGACTGGTGAGCTATAGTCCACGATGTCACAAAAGATTCGGATACAACTTGGCAACTAAACACCACCACCACTAATTGGAAAGGGCAGAAATGCCATCTCTTGCATGTGTACTATATGCAGGCACTGAGATAGGCGATTTATATGTTATCTCACTAACCATTCTAGAGCACATCCAAGATCTGAGGATTATTAGCTCTATCTTAAAAGTGAAAAAAAAATTAAATGGAATATATAAAACGTTAAGTGACATCCAAATGAGCATAGAATTGCTAAGCAGAGGTGTTGAGATTTGGACTCTCTTTACTATACCATGCTACTTTTCATCTACCGACAGCCTTGTGGGGCTAGACAACTGTCACTGGGAATGGAAAAAAAAAAGAGAGATTTAGATACTTCATTCTAAAGCTTCTACTTACAGGACGAGGGCCATAGTAATTTGAAGCAGCATTTCTGCAAAATATTAGAATTGTTTAGCTCAGTTCAGTTTCAAAATGAATCCACAGCATGATAGACTTGGCACATAAATAAACACGTAAGTTGACAATAAATAAATGTGTAAATAGGAGAAAGAATAAAACCTATTGTAACAACACTAAGGGATACACAATCATAAAAGATTAATAATCATATAAGGGATTTATCTAGTATCCAGAAAGCAGGTTCTAAAATTCTTATTCTTAGCATTGGTGAGACATCCAGATACCCAGGCATTGCTACACTCCACACCCCACTATGTTTGGTTTGAGAAGACTCAAGAAGACTTGGTCACTTTCTGCCAATATCTGAAGGGAAAGGCTGTCACAGGGTAGAAGGTTTAGATGAGGTTTGTATCTTAAGGGGGCAAAGTGAGGACATATGGGTAGAATGTACAGGCAGGCAGATTTATATTCAGTATAAAGTATGGTTTTCTAATAATCACAATGAGGGGTCAAGTCAGTCTCCAGGGCTCCAGATAACAGTCTCTCCCATTTATCTTCACTAATATAATGTTACTGGGCATTATATACATTATATTATATAATATATAATATTTATATATTTATATATATACATTATATACATAGCTGGGCAGCTATGGTTATTTTCTTTAGTGTCTGCCTCCTTTCTGGATTCGGAGTGATTCCACCAGGGTAGAGTTTAGATCCAAGATTGCCCTCCATCCAACCACCTCTCGAGACTCTCCCTAGCAGGATCTTGTGAACTTTGGCTGTGTTTGCACTCAGTGAGGTGCAAGTCGGCCTCTTATGAGAAAGCTTAAAGTTAACCAGGCAGGCTGGAGAAGGAAGTGGATGCAAGCTTAGCTATAGAATCTATAGGCAGAGTTACTACTAAGCCTCAGGGGGTAGGTCTCTCCAGAAATATCCCTAGAAACCAAACAGCACCTAGGAGTGAGGTGAAGGCAGTTTGAGGGCCTGGACTTAGAAATAGGGGTAGGGCAAAGAGAAGTTGCCAGAAAAAAATAGGATTCTTAAGTTCTCCATATTGCTCCTAAGCTACTATCAGGCCCTGTTCTAAGTGCTTTATGTGTCTTAACTAATTTATAACAGCTATATGAGATAGGTACCATGATTATCATCCTTATTTTTCAGATGAGAAACCAAGATATAGAGAGGCCAAGGAGCTTGTTCATGGTAATACAGCCAGAAAACAGCAGTGGATTCAAGAACACTCACTCAGGTCTCTAGCAGCAGAATCATTACATGGAAATTTTTGTATGTGTGTTTGTGTTCTTTTTTTTTTTTAAATGGAAATTCTCTAGCCCCAACCCAGATCTAATGAATCAGAAATTTCCAGGGATAGGCCCAGAAATCTGTGTTTTAACAAGCCCTCCAAGGTAATTCTGATGCCCAATCAAGTTTAAACACCACTGTTCTAATGCACTAAATGAAATAACTTCTGTCCTTCCCAATTAGAAGCCCTTCCCATCTTCCCTGTACAACTATTCTAAATTTCTACAGTTTCCCTAAAGTCCCTATTTTGGCATCTTGTTATCAGTCCAGAAAAATGGATCCCTACCCTTATCATCAAGAAAACAGATGCTATTAGGTATGAATCCCTTCCATCACTTTCCCTTATGCCAGTAAATTTCTCTCTCCATCCACCCTGGCTTTTCCTCTTGGTGGAGAGGAGAGAGAATGAGCCTCTCCTCTCTCTCCTGTCCCCTATGCACCGTGCTTTATTAACCTCTTTTCCACAGGTACCTTTATTGTTCACCTTTCCTCTTGTGGCCAGTCACTCTACCCACAAATATATTTGAATTCCTCCCATTGGTGGGGTGGGGGGTCCTTTACTCTTCACATCTTCATGATTTACTATGCCTCTGGGTTTATTTCAAGAGACTTCAAGATTCTCCAGCAATAACCCCATGCCTACTTTCACTTAACCACTTCCCTCAACTTCCCTTTAATAATCTCTGTCTCCTTAATCCCCAGCCCTCCATCTATGGAGAAGTAGCCTCACTAAGCTCAGAGGTTCCCCCACCTGATCCACCTAGAAACCAATCTTCAGCCCCAGAACATTATTAGTTATCATGTCACCCTTGCTGAGGAGTCTCTACACTTAAGAAATGAGAAGATTCCACGCACTTCCTCTATCACTCAGTTCAGTTCAGTCGCTCATTGGTGACCGACTCTTTGCGACCCCATGAACCACAGCATGCCAGGCCTCCCTGTCCATCACCAACTCCTGAAGTCCACCCAAACCCATGTCCATTGTGTTGGTGATGCCATCCAACCATCTCATCCTCTGTCGTCACCTTCTCCTCCTGCCCTCAGTCTTTCCTATCATCAAGGTCTTTTCAAATGAGTCAGCTCTCTGCATCACGTGGCCAAATTAATGGAGTTTCAGCTTCAACATCAGTCCCTCCAATGAACACCCAGGACTGATCGCCTTTAGGATGGACTGGTTGGATCTCCTTGCAGTCCCAAAAACCTACATGACAGCCTCCCACTGCATATGGCATAAAATTTGAGTCTTTTAATATATAATGTTGGTTTGGACTTGGATGAAACTGTTAAAGAAATAGTTGGATTTTGTATTTATTTTAAAGGTAAGATTTATTTTCTATTGAAGTGGGTATGGGCAGTGTGTAAAAAAAAAAGTAGGACTTGATGGATTCCTAGGTTCTAGGGCTGAACAACTGGATGCATGGTGATAACATTTATTTAGTTGAGAATACTGGCAGAAAAGCAGTTTTATGGAGGTAGAGAATCAAGTATGTGGTTTTGGGCATATTAAATATATAGTTTTTCAAAATAGTGATAATTTCAATTGATAGTTTTGCCTTTTTAAAATTAATTTTAATGGAGTATAGTTGATATACAATGTTGCATTAGTTTCTGCTGTACAGCAAAGTGAATCAGCTATGTATATACATATATCCACTATTTTAAAAATTCTTTTCCCATATAGGATATTACAGAGTATTGAGTAGAGTTCCCTGTACTATTCAGTAGGTTCTTACTAATTATCTACTATATATATATAGTAGTGTACATATGTCAATAACAATCTCCCAGTTTATCCCTCCCCCACCCAACCTCATTAACCCCTGGTAACCATAAGTTCATTTCTAAATCTAACTCTATTTTCATTTTGTAGATAAGTTCATTTGTTCCCTTTGTTTAGATTCCACATACAAGCAGTATCATATGATATTTGTCTGTCTGAGTATGTCACTCAGTTTGACAATCTCTAGGTCCATCCATGTAACTATAAACAATGTTATTTCATTCTTTTTATCACTGATATTACTACATCTTCTTTTATCCATTCCTCTGTTGATGTACATTTAGATTGGCTCCATGTCCTGGCTATTGTAAATAGTGCTGCAATGAACTTTCAGGTGCATATATATTTTTGAATTATTGTTTTCTCCAGATATATGCCCAGGAGTGGGATTACCATAGAACATGGTAGTTCTATTTTTAATTTTTTAAGGTAACTCCATACTGTTCCCCAGAGTGGCTGTACCAGTTTATATTCCCACCAGCAGTGTAGGAAGGTTCCCTTTATTCCACACTCACTCTAGCATTTATTGTTTGTAGAGTTTTTGATAATGGGCATTCTGACTGGTGTGAGGTGATACTTTAATGAGGTATTGATTTGCATTTCTCTAATAATTAGTGATGTTGAGCTTCTTTTCATGTACTTTTTAGCCATCTTCATATCTTCCTTGGAGAAAAGGACCCTTTGCTCATTTTTTGACTGAATTGTTTGTTTTTTTAGATATTGAGTTTCATGAGCTGTCTATATTTTGGAGATTAATCCCATGTTGGTTGCTTCATTTGTAATATTTTCTCCCATTCTGAGGGTTGTTTATTGTTTTGTTTATGGTTGCCTTTGCTGTGCAAAAGCTTTTAAGTTTAATTATATTCCATTTGTTTATTTTTACTTTTTATTTTCATTATTCTAGGAGACAGATCAAAAAAGATCTTGCTGCAATTCATGTCAAAGTGTATTCTGCCAATGCTTTTCTTTAAGAGTTTTATAGTGTCAGACCTTACATTTAGGTCTTTAATCCATTTTGAGTTTATTTTGTGTATGGTGTTAGAGACTGTTCTATTTTCATTCCTTCACATATAGCTGTCCAGTTTTCTCAGAACCACTTATTGAAGAGACTATCTTTTCTCCACTGTATATTGATGCCACCTTTGTCAAAGATTAGGCGACCATTGGTGCATGGGATTATCTCTCAGCTTTCTATCTTGTTCCATTGATCAATATTTCTGTTTTTGTGTCAGTGCCATACTGTTTTGATTACTGTAGCTTTGTAGTATAATTTGACATCAGGGAGTCTGATTTCTTCAGCTCCATTTTTCTTTCTCAAGACTGTTTTGGCTATTTGAGGTCTTTCATGTTTCCATGCAAATTGTCAAATATTTTATTCTAATTCTGTGGAAAATGTCACTGGTAATTTGATAGGGATTGCATTGAATCTGTGGATTGCTTTGGGTAGTATAGATATTTTTACAATATTGACTCTTCCAATCTGAGAATATAGTATATCTGTCCATCTGACTGTGTCATCTTTGATTTCTTTCATCAGTATCTTACAGTTTTCTGGGTATAAGTCTTTTACTTCTTTAGGTATGTGTATTCCTAGGTATTTTATTATTTTTGTTGCAGTCGTAAATGGAGTTATTTCCTTAATTTCTCTTTCATTGTTAGTGTACTGAAATGCAAGATATTTCTGTGTATTAATTTTGTATCCTGAAGCTTAACCAAATTCATTGATGAGCTCTAGTAATTTTCTGCTAGCAAATTTAGGGTTTTCTATGTATAGTATCATGCCATTTGCAAACAGTGACAGTTTTACTTATATTTTCCAAGTTGGATTCCTTCTATTTATTTTTCCTCTCTGATTGCCATGGCTAGGACTTTCAAACTATGTTGCATAATAATGGTAAGAGTGGACATCCTTGTCTTGTTCCTGATCTTACAGGAAATGCTTTGACTTTTTTTCACCATTCAGAATTATGTTTGCTGTGGGTTTGTCATATATGGCTTTTATCATGTTGAGGTACGTCCCCTCTATGCTCACTTTCTGGAGAGTTTCTATTGTAAGTAAATATTGAATTTTGTCAAAGGCTTTTTCTACATCTTCTGAGATGATCATATGGTTTTTATTCTTCAATTTGTTAATGTGGTGTACCATATTGATTTATTTGCATATATTGAAGAATCCTTGCATCCTTAGGATAAACCCCACATAATCATGGTGTATGACCTTTTAAATGTGTTTTTGGATTTTGTTTGCTAGTATTTTTTTCTGAATTATTGTGTCTATGTTTATCAATGATATTGGCCTGAAATTTTCTTTTTTTGTGTGTGAGATCTTTGGTTTTGGTATCAGGGTGAGGGTGGTCTTACAGAATGATTTTGGAAATGTTTCTTCTGAAATTTTTGAAAGAGTTTCAGAAGTTATATGTTAATTCTTCTCTAAATGTTTGATAAAATTTGCTTGTGAAGCCATCACATTTTCTATGATATTGAGCTGTATAAGCTGCTTGTATATTTTGGAGACTAATCCTCTGTGAGTTGTTTCATTTGCAATTATTTTCTCTATGATATTGAGCTGTATGAGCTGCTTGTATATTTTGGAGATTAATCCTCGGTGAGTTATTTCATTTGCAATTATTTTCTCTGTGATATTGAGCTGTATGAGCTGCTTGTATATTTTGGAGACTAATCCTCTGTCAGTTGTTTTATTTGCAATTATTTTCTCCCATTATGAGGGCTGTCTTTTAATCTTATTTAATGTTTCCTTTGCTGCACAAAAGCTTTTAAGTTTAAATAGGTCCCATGTGTTTACTTTTGCTTTCATTATTCTAGGAGGTGGGTCAAAAAGTATCATGCTGCAATTTATGTCAAAGACTGTTCTTCCTCTGTTTTCATCTAAGAGCTTTATAATTGCTTCCTTTATATTGAATTCTTTTTTTAATTCATTTTTATTAGTTGGAGGCTAATTACTTTACAATATTGTAGTGGTTTTTGCCATACATTGAGATGAATCAGCCATGGATTTACATGTGTTTCCCATCCCGATCCCCACTCCCGCCTCCCTCCTCATCCCATCCCTCTGGGTCTTCCTAGTGCATGTTCTGAGAGAATAGCATTGAAACAAGTATATTGAATTCTTTACTCTATTTTGAGCTTACTTTTGTGTACGGTGTTAGGAAATGTTTTAGTTTCATTTTTTTTTTTTTACATGTAGCTGCTCAGTTTTCCAGCACCACATATTGGAGAAGCTGTCTTCTCTTCATTGTATATTCTTGCCTTCTTTGTCAAAGATAAGGTGCTCATAAATGCATAGGTTTACTTGGGCTTTCTAGCAGCTCAATATCAGAAAAATAGTCCAATCAAAAAATGGGCAGAAGACCTACACAGAAAAATCTCCAAAGAAGATATCCAAATGGCCAATAAACACAGGAAAATATGCTCAAAATCACTAATTATTAGAGAAATTCAAATCAGAACTACAATGAAATATGACCTCACACCAATCAAAATGGCCATCATCAAAAAATCTATGAACACTAAATGGTGGAGAGGATGTAGAGAAAAGGAATCCCTCCTACACTGTTGGTGAGAATGTAAGCTGATAGGGCCACTATGGAGACTCCTTTAATAACTATGAATAAAACTACCATATGACCCAACAATCCCAGTACTGTGCATATAATCTGAGAAAACCGTAATTGAAAAAGACACATGTACCCCCAATGTTAATAGCATCATTGTTTACAATAGCTAGGACATGGAAGAAACCTAGATGTCTATTGATAGATGAAAGAATAAAGAAGTTGTGGTACATATATACAATGGAATATTATTCAGCCATAAAAAACACGTTTGAGTCAGTTGTAGTAAGGTGGATGATCCTAGAGCTTGTTATACAGAGTGAAGCAAATCAGAAAGAGAAAAACAAATATTGTATATTAACACATATATATGGAATCTAGAAAAAATGGTATTGATGAATCTATTTGCAGGGAAGGAATGGAGATGCAGATGTGGAGAACAGGCTTGTGGACACAGTGAGGAAAGGAGATAGTGGGGGTGAATGGAGAAATTAGCATCGACATATGTACACTCTCATGTGTAAAATAGACAGCTGGTAGGAAGTTGATATATAACACAGGGAGCCCAGCCTGGTACTCTGTGATGACCAGAAGGATGGGATGGGGGGAAGGGGGCGATGTTCAAGAGGGAGGGAATACATGTGCAGTTATGGCTGATTTATTGTGTTGTATGGCAGAAACCAACACAACATTGTAAAAAGTAAATTTAAAAAATAAAGAAAAGAACTGAAGTAATATAAATCACAGTTTCAATTTCAGTAATTGTGATTGTCCTGTTCATATTTTCTATTTCTTCTTGGGTCAATTTTGGGAGATTATACCTTTCTAAGAATTTTTCTATTTCTTCTAGGTTGCCCATTTTTATTGGCATATAGTTGCTTGTAGTAGTCTCTTATGATCCTTTGTAGGTTTTTGGTGTCAGTTGTAATTTCTTTTTAATTTCTAATTTTATTGAATTGAGTCCTCTCCCTTTTTTCTTTGATGAGTCTGGCTAACAGTTTATCAGTTTTGTTTATTATTTTTTAAAAAACAGCTTCTAGTTTCATTGATGTTTGCTATTTTTTTCTTCATCTCTATTTCATTTATTTCTGCTCTGATCTTTAAAATTTCTTTCCTTCTACTAATTTCAAGTGTTGTTTGTTCTTCTTTCTGTAGTTGCTTTAAGTGTAAGGTTAGGTTGTTTACTTGAGCCTTTTCTCATTTTCTGAGGTGAGATTTTATTGCTGTAAACTTCCCTTTCAGAACTCCTTTTTGTGTCCCACATGTTTTCAAGTATCATGTTTTCACTGACATTTTTCTCTAGGTATTGTTTGATTTCTGCTTTGATTTCTTCAGTGATCTACTGGCTGTTTAGTAACATGTTCTCTAGCCTCCATGTGTGTGATTTTTTAGTTTTTCCCCTGCAACTGATTTCTAATGTCATAGCATAGTGATCGGAAAATATGCTTGATGTGATTTCAATTTTCTTAAATTTACTAAGGGTTGATTTTTGGCTTAAGGTATGATGCATCCTGAAGAATGTATCATGTGCACTTGAGAAGAAGGTGTATTATGTTGCTTTCAAATGGAATATCCTATAGGCTGATCTACTAGCCTAAAGTGTCTTACCTACTAAGTCCATTTCTTTATTGCATCCTTCAAATCTTAGTCCTTATAGTCCCTTCATTCATCACTGCTGTCAAGTAAGAAATCTTGCTTGATTCCTCTCCTCTGGAGGGAGAAGACCATACAAAGCAAACCAGAGCTACATATATTACAAAGTTTTCATTCCTTATAGACAATGATGGTGGTAAAACTGAATAAGTTGTTATTTTTATAGTTAGTTGTATTACAGAGACAGTTTTATAAAACTGCTTATTCTTGCAGATTAAAAGATTAATGGTAATTAGTAGGGGAAGGATTGGAGAAGGAAATGGCAACCCACTTCAGTGTTCTTGCCTGGAGAATCCCAGGGACGGGGGATCCCGGTGGGCTGCCATCTGTGGGGTCGCGAAGAGTTGGACAGGACTGTAGTGACTTAGCAACAGTAGCAGCAGCAGCAGTAGGGGAAGGATACTTTGAACGCCAGGTGGTATAGTTGTTACATCTTAGTGTTATCTTTCCTTGTAGACGCTTGTGATTTTTGCATTCTGTTTTGAATTCCTGTAGTTCTGTCAAAGTTATTTCGGGTAAAATTAGGCCAGATGATATTTCTGAATTGATAAAAGGTTATTACATTGGAGTGAAGAAAACAGTCAAAGGGCTCTAGACTTTTATCAAAACGGGCTAGTGGAACATTTCAACTTTGTTTGTAGACATTTTTTTTTTTTTAACCAAAATGAATTTGGAGGCCAGAAGCAATCATGCCCCTGCATGATTTCTTGAGGTGGTGGGGGATACTGCTCCTTCACATCTCATCAATCAACTTAATACAGGTGTGAGTGAAGTATAGCTTTAATGGTGACAATGAGATAGATACGGTGTCTTATGTTACTCATACTAAAATAGCAGATAACATCATGAATACTTCCTGAAAGGACACAAATGAAACCTTCCTATAATACTATTTCAAATTTGTAAAGCACTTTGCATTTATCAAAGCACTTGCATTAAATCACCTACTTTTGTGGGGTATGCATTGTAAACATTGTACAGATGAAAACTGAAGTTCAGAGAGGAGTATGGGACTAATCATTATGACATATGGCCAAGCAGTTGAGCTGGGATAAAAATGGAACACTTTTGACTTCCAATTTAGTGGTCTTTTCATTATACTAGTTTTCATCTGATATTGGTAGTGATTTTTAAAGAAGAAATCATCACTTTGTAGGCAACTGTTTTGGCTGTCAATTTACTCATTAAGTTTCACAAAAAGCAATCATGTTACCTTGTCCTGGAGTGGACACTTAACCACATCTTCCTCATTTCACTGCTAAAGAAAGCAAAATATAAAAAAGGAAACAAGTAATATACTTCAGACTTATTATCTGATAGGTGCTGTGACACATACACAATTATATGTACATCTTTGGCTCCCTCTCACACAATTCACTAGTGTTCTTATAGATGGTCTTCAGTTTATTATGAAACTAAAATTAAACCACATATTTCAACACACTAAAGCCAAGAAATTTAAAATAATTCTCACTAAAAACATTAAAATAGACAGAGGCTGGCGGCTGACAGTGCCAAGCACGTGCGGGGCCCGCTGGGGACGGGCCCAGGCAGGGCTTGCCACTGCAGTAACCCCGAGGCGATGGAAGAGCAGGTGCGCGAACCTGGGCCTGTGGCGCCCAGGGCTATAGCGCAGAAGCTGCTGAGACCAGACTCGCTGGTCATCTACCGTGAGAAATGCGAGTTCGCCCGAGGGTGGGTCGGGAGCTGACGACTCCAGACCCCAGGGGAAGTCTGATAAAGAAGCTCTTCCAGGGGCTGAGCAAGGACAAGACGCTGGAGCCTCCTGGCACCACTGGGGTGGGAGAAGAGTTGGGGGCCAAGGCCCAGGAGGACGCCGGGACTGAGCCTGGACCCTCCGAGTCCCCAGTGCCTACCTGGTCTGTCGGGGCTCCCTCCAAGGTTTCAGCTGTGCCCCGGGGCTCGGAGCTGCTCCAGGCCAGGGGCCAGGGGCTGCAGTGCTGTAGTCAGATTTCAGCTCACACTACTCTGCGTTCTTGGCCAAATTTGACACTTTCTTCCAGTACTCCGGCCTGGATGCCAACGTGGTGGATCGAGGAAGCAAGCCGACGATGGGGACTCCTTGAGGCATGTCTGGATGATTGGGACCCCAGGTCCATCCTCACTGCCAGGTTTTGTGCAGAGTACCCAAGTATCCATATGATTGTTCTTTTCCTGGGAATAAAATACACCATTGAAGAAGCTTGTCATTTCAGAAGGTTTCAAATGCTGTGGAAGAGGTAGGAACACAGAACTTGGAAATTAGCTGAGTTTTAACTATTATGACACAGCTGAAGCTCTGGAAGATATTTTCTTATGTTAGGTGGATCTATTTTTGCTTCCAGAGGGCAGCAGAAGAAGGAAAAGCTGCTTGGAAATATTTTCAATGGCATCTTTTTGAGTGGTTTGCTGACAAAGAGGTACCATGATACATTTTAATGATATTTTAATTAATTTTGAAAAGAAAAAAGGCAAAGAGCATGAATATCAAACACAATGCCATGGTGTTTACTGCTTTCAATCATATTGAACAGATTGGCACCATTTAAATCAAAGTTCTGTGATCATAAGATCTTAAGAAGATCACAAAAATACTGTGGTTAACAAAGAGCAAACATGCTCACACTTACACATTCACACACATACCTCCCTTTCTAAGCACCACTGCACCATAAACTACAGTGAATTCCCAGCTGTGCAATTGATCATCTTATGAAGTGAATCAGAAAGCACTTTTAAAACCATTTGTGAGCTGTAAGGTCACTCTATGAATGCCACTCCTGTTGGGCTATAGACATGCAGTGTTAACAGTAAAAGATAAAGATTTGAAATACTGCTAGGAAACTTTTTCGTTTACCTGGACAGTTTCTTTCGAGTTGGCAGAAGAATACTGGAGCTTCCTTCCTTCAAATCTGTATCAGTGGTCCTCTTCTGGAGCACTGTGTAGAATGTGCCTCCATGGTTCTCTTGTCCCCAGTTTCCGAAAAGGATAAAAACCCCTCTATTTAGACAGAACATGGACTCATGACATGTGAAATGCCCTACCTTTTGGTCTAATTCTCACCCCCATCTATCATGAAATCATTCCTTATTTGGCAGCAGTTCACTCTCTCTGAATAGGGTGTTTGAGGCAAGTGGCAGCCCCTGGGTGGCTGGGAAACTGTAGGATCAGAGTGTTGGTAAGGAGTTACTGTGACCCTAAATCTGTCCCAGCTCATGACACTCAGAGTAAATAGATTTCAAATTCAGAACCTTCTGAGAAAAATTTTGTATCCATGAAAACAACCCAAGGAATTTTTCACCCAGTCAACTCTTACAATGTTTGATTAAAATATGTCTAAGAATATAATTATTAGAACAGGGAGTGAAGAGAAAAAGGTTTCTCAAGAGTAAAATATTTTATAAACCAATTTTGATATATCCATTTAATTCTTTATTCATTTAATACTGTATTGTATTTTTGTAATTTTTACTATGAGGATAGGTCCTAGAGTTAGATATTTATTTTTACATAATTATTGGTCCTCAAATAGTTTTCCTACACTTCATATGGTTTTAGTTTTAATCAGTATAATTTTAAGTCATTCTGTCCTTGGTTATCTATTTGTATGTTGTTTAATTGAATTTTCAATTCTACTATCAGCAGCATGTTCAGTACTCTGTACTGTGCTCGGTACTGTAGGGATTTGTTTGTAAATCAAAACCACAATAAGGTACCATTACACACCAGTCAGAATGGCTGCTATCCAAAAGTCTACAAGCAATAAATGCTGGAGAAAAGGGAACCCTCTTACACTGTTGGTGGGAATGCAAACTAGTACAGTCACTATGGAGAACAGTGTGGAGATTCCTTAAAAAACTGGAAATAGAACTGCCATATTACCCAGCGATCCCACTCCTGGGCATACACACCAAGGAAACCATAACTGAAAGAGACACGTGCACCCCAATGTTCACTGCAGCACTATTTATAATAGCCAGGACATGGAAGCAACCTAGATGCCCATCAGCAGATGAATGGATAAGAAAGCTGTGGTACATATACACCATGGAATATTACTCAGCCATTAAAAAGAATTCATTTGAATCAGTTCTAATGAGATGGATGAAACTGGAGCCCATTATACAGAGTGAAGTAAGCCAGAAAGATAAACACCAATGCAGTATACTAATGCACATATATGAAATTTAGAAAGATGGTAACGATAACCCTATATGCAAGACAGGAAAAGAGACACAGATGTATAGAACAGACTTTTGGACTCTATGGGAGAAGGCGAGGGTGGGATGATCTGAGAGAATAGCATTGAAACATGTATATTATCCAGTACGAAACAGATCACCAGTCCAGGTTGGATGCATGAGACAATTGCTCAGGGCTGGTGCACTGGGATGACCCAGAGGGATGGGATGGGGAGGGAGGTGGGGGGGGGTTTCAGGATGGGGAACACATGTAAATCCATGGCTGATTCATGTCAATGTATGGCAAAAACCACTACAATATTGTAAAGTAATTAGCCTCCAACTAATAAAAATAAATGAAAAAAAAAAGTCACAGGTGTGCGTTTGGGGAGGGTACCTCTCTCCATGTAGACTCTAAAGACAGATTCCCTGCTCTAAGAAATTTTCCTTTTTTCTTTTTAACTGCTGCTACTTTGCTATTCACTGGATTATACTTAGTTTAAAAGATAATGTCAAAGGTGAGAGTTTTCCTTAAATGATCTTTTTGTATTTGCAGTTCCCCTATTTGCAGGTTCCATTAATTTTATATGTGAATGCTTTAAGTGAAATTGTTATGTGCCTTTCTACTGTCAGAATAGGATAAAGTATATCCTAGATCAGATTTATCTGAGATTGAAATGATGTGAACTCTGCCATCCATGTAGGCTTCCCTGATGACTCAGCAGTAAAGAATTTGCCTGCAGTGAAGGAGATGCAGGAGATGTGGGTTTGATCCCTGGGTGTGGAAGATCTCCTGGAGGAAGGCATGGCAACTCACTCTAGTACTCTTGCCTAGAGAATTCCATGAACAGAGAAACCTGGCAGGTTACAGTCCATAGGGTCACACAGAGACAGATGTGACTGAAGTGACTTAAGTAGCTACCACCCGTGTAATAGATGAAAAGCAGAAAAACAAATTGGTTACTGTTTAAAAGCACTGAGATCTTCCAGAATCATTTGCATATCAGTGAAGGTGACTCCAGGAAATAGATGTCAGAGGTGAGTATAAGGCAGGAACAGGTTGTCCCAGGCTCCAGAAGGATCAGGTTAACACTTCCTCTTGTCTGTCTGGATTCATGCCTCAGCTCAGGGCCTGAGTGTGTGGTTGGAGTCAGGAAGTCCTTTTCTAACTCTGAATTAACCCAATTCACTGAGTGAGTCTGAGAAAATCAAACTCTGTAGCTCACTCTGAATAAAAAAAAGTTTATAATTGCTTTTCACAAGAATGAACAATAATTATTACTGAAAAATTGTTTCATTTGTTCAGGAAAGAATAACATATGAGGTAATATGATTAAGCACAATGGAGAGGAAAAGTTATTGGAAAATTATTGATAAAACCTGGAAAGTAGCTTGACAGTATCTAATTCTTTAATATATGGGTACAGATCACCAGTGCCTCAGACTGAAAGGTAGTTATGTGATGGAAAGTTAGTTATATAACTGAAAAGTTTCCTCACTATGCATATAGTTTTTAAACTTCTGGTCACTGACACTGGAACAAAAAGAAGGCTTTATCAAACATTGCCCTTTTCACTGGGCTAAAGGTTCAGTGCTGTAGTTATAGTTGGTGATGCCATAAAATATCAGGCCCAGACAATCGTTATGGCAGTCGAAATAGAGTTATTTTTTTACACACTACTTGCAACGTGAATGCTATATTGTGTATTCTGTATCAAAGAAAAATATTTTTAATATAACTGAGAATTTGTACAATATGAAAAAACTGAAGCAAGAGTATGGCTATTATAACTACTCATCTTTTTCTCCCTTCCTCCTAAATATCATCACAGCAGATTATCAGTCAAAATGAAGAGTACATTCTAAAACTTGAACTAGGAGAATCATGTGGCATCTAAAGCTCCAGTTCTCTATGGAGATGGAATACAATAAAATCAGTTTGAATATTTAAAAAAACATTAAAAAACATCTTAGCATTTAAATGCTTAAATCTTTCAAATAACTTACTAGGATATTTCTCTTTCTGGACATACAGTAGCAGTGTATTACTACTTGATTAAGACTCTTTTAAGCCCATCACAAATCTATAACTAGTAGTTCAACAAATATTTACAGAGTCCTTACCACAAGTCAGGCACTGAGATATGCTATGGGGTACACTATGTTTTTATAAGAAATAGATACTGTTATGAATATGTTCAGTTTTTCAATCCCTTTTATTGTGAAATACTTTTTTTAAACCAGGTTATTGTGTGGAGCTGGGTCTTGGTGGAAAAAGGTGGACCTCAGAGAGAGCTCATGCTGATCAATATTCCCTGGAGCTTCCAACTACCAGTGTCCTTGCCTCCATGGTAAGATACAATAGACCTTCACTTCCCCATGAGACCCTCCAAGACCCCTTGGTAGGTGTATCCAAGATTCCTCTGGAAATACTGCTTTGTGATGAGACCCAGTGCACATGAGGCCTTGTATGCATCCTCCAA